AGAATTTCTATTTGATTCTTTAACTTTTATCTCTTTGTTTATACTCTCTATTTGGTGGGACATCATGATGGTACTTTCCTGTAGTTCTTTGAACATATTTAAAATAGCTGATTAAAGTCTTTCTTTAGTAAATCCAAGGTCTGAGCTTCCTCAGTAACAGTTTCTATTGACTGTTTTTTATTCTGTATATAAACTATCCTTGCTAGTTTATTACATGTCTCATGATTTGTTGAAAACTAGACTATTTAAATAACTTAATTGGTAACTCTAAAAATAAGTTTCTTTCCTTCTCCAAAGTTTCTGGTTGTTGCTGTTTGTTGCTGTTTAGTGACTTCAATGAATTCTGTAAAGCCTACATTCTTTGTCATATACAGCCACTGAAGTTTCTGCTGACTTAGCTTAGTGGTCAGTGAATGATTGGACAGAGATTTCTGTAATTGCCCGGAACTAATACATCTGCTAGTGGCTCAGAATACAAGTTGGGCATTCAGTCAGGTAGTTTACAACTCTACCTTAGCCTTCACTTTCTCCTTGTGCAGATCTTCAAGGATAGCCAGAAATGAGAGTTAGGGTTTTCTCAGGTCTTTTCTGAGCATTCACACAGCCCTGTGCATGCACATGGCCTTCTAGATTCCCAGGAGTATGTTAGAAGCTTTCCAAGTTCCCTATGAACATCTCATTCTCCATCTTTTCCTTTTTAGTTTTTGATTGATTTTTTGTTTGTCCCAATTGTTATCACCACCTCAGGCAGCTGGGCTGTTAAATAACTGTTAAACAACTGTCACCATTTTTGCTTGCCCCCATGGAAAAGACTCTAAGTGAGCTCTAAGTCAAGTTAAACAAAGATAAAACTTTATTTTAAAAAAGTGGTATTTTCCAGAAAACTGGTAGTCAAGTCAAATAAAGTCAATTATCTGAGAATGGGGCGTTGAAAGAACTCCAACTCCATTCAGACCCCTCCAATGGCTGCTGGGCTGATAGCTAATGTCCATAGTTCTGAAAAAAGTTGATCTAAGCCATTTTTACTAGTATTCCCACTGCTTTATGGAGGGAAGATTTTGGATATCCTTATTCTGCCATTTCCACTAATGTCACTCTCTTTCTCCTCATGTTTAAATTTCTTTGAAAGGTATTAGATTGTTTAAAGCAATAATAATAGTTTAGGCAGTCCCCAGATTACAAATGTCTGACTTACAGACAACTCCTACTTGCCATTTAATGTTATGTAAATTTACCCTCAATTTTAAACAACTGAACCTACCTCTACCCAAAATAAATACTTCATCACAATCACCTTCACTTGTTGCATGTGCAGCTTTTACATCACTGAAAAGGCTTTGAACCTTTTCTTGCACTAAAGTAAGGCTGTTAGAAACCATAAGCATCTGTTCCAATTCACCTACAAATTCCACTTAACAACTTAAAGACACAGTTAGGAACTGATCTCATTTGTAACTAGGGACTGCCTGTGTATTGCAGGGTTTATATTTTCAGGAGTAAATGTATTATAACAATAGCACAAAGGGCAGGAAGGAGTAAATGAATATATGCTACTGTAAAAGTGTTTTATATGCGAGGTGGTATAATATTATTTGAAGGTAGATGGTAAGTTAAAGATATATGCTGTAAATCCAAGACATTCATTAAAAAAAAAAAAAAGTAAAAACCAAATATTCCAAAAGAGGAAAGAAAAAAGAATACTAAAACATACACAATTATTACAAAGATGGCAAGAAAAATAGAAAAAGTAGAGCAGATGAGACAAACAGAAAACAAATAGTAAGGTATTACATTACAGTGCAATTATCAGTGTTTGCATCTATCTATCTTAGTAGATTGTGAGCTTACTAAATTTGAATGAAAAACAGAAGTAAACCAAGGTAACTGCTGTAATGAATACACTATTAGTTCTTTTTCAAATTTTTATTTTATTGTGGTAAAACATAAAGAACACATACATATTTTTTAGCCATGGGCATTAATTACATTCAAAATGTTGTACAGCCATCACCAACATCTATTTCCAAAACATTTTCCCCACTCTAAGCAGAAACTGTATCCATTATGTAATAACACCCCCTTCTTCACTGCCCCCAGCCCCTGGTAACCCGTAATCTTTTTCTATCCCTATAAATTTGCCTATTCTAATTATGTCATATAAGTAGAATCATAAAATATTTGTCCTTTTGTGTCTGGCTTATTTACTTAACATAATGTTTTCAAAGTTCATTCATGCTGTAGCATATTTTAGAATTTCATTACTTTTTGTGGTTTAATAATATTCCACTGTACATACACACACACATATATACACACACATACATATACATACACATACATATACATACACTACACACATGCATACATATATTCTGTGTGTATACACACATATGCATATACACATGCACACACACACATATGTACACATACTCTGGTAACGTAGTGCCTAAGGCACTTGACTGCTAATGAGAAGGCTGGCGGTTCAAACCCACTAGTCACTCCCTGGAAGGAAGGTAGGGCAATCTACTTCCGTAGCGATACCACCTCAGAAACCCAGGAGGGGTCACTATGACTCAGGTCTGAGTCGACAGCACATAACAACAACAACAACAACAACATATATACATATACACATACATTTTGCTTATCCAGTCATCTATCATTGGCACTTGGGTCGTTTTCACACTTCGGCTACTATGAACGCTAGTGTATAAGTAGTATCTGTTTGAGTCTCTGCTTTCAATTCTTTTGGGTACCTACGAGTGTTATTGCTAGCTCATATAGTAATTCTATGTTCAACTTTTGGAGGAACTGACAAACTGTTTTCCACAGCTATACCATTTTACATTCCCACCAGCAAAGCACAAGGATTCTAATTTTCCCACATTTTTATCAACACTTGTTATTTTCTATTTTTTTTTTTTTTTTCAAAAAAATATCTATTCTAGTGGATAGGAGCTCTGGTGGCATAGTGCCTAAGGCATTTGATTGCTAACCAGAAGGCTGGAGGTGCAAACCCACCAGCCACTCCTCAGAAGGAAGATTGAGCAATCTACTTCCATAGTGATCTCACCTTGGAAACCCAAGGAGGAGTTGGTATGAGTGGGATCCAACTCCACAGCAGTGAGTTTGGGCTTTTTATTCTAGTGGATTGGAAGTGGTATCTCATTGTGGTTTTGATTTGCATTTTCCTAATGAGTAATGCTTGGGAGCTCTGGTGGCGGAGTGCTTAAGGCATTTGGACTGCTAACCAGAAGGCGGCGGTTCAAACCCATCAGCCACTCCTCAGAAGGAAGACTGGGCAATCTACTTCACTGAGATACCGCCTTGGAAACCCAAGGAGGGGCTGCTATGAGTCAGACTGAACTCGATGGCAGTGAATTTTTTTTTTTTTTTTTTTTTAACGAGTAATGCTTGGTAAAGTAGAGGGTCAATGAAAAAGAGGAAGGCCCTCAAGGAGATGGACTGACACAGTGGCTTCCATGATGGGCTTAGGTACAGCAAGGATTGTGGGGCTGGTACAGGACCGGGCAGTGTTTCATGCTGTGGTACATAAGGTTGCTATGAGTCAGAGCCGACCTGATGGCACCTAACAACAACAAAGAGTGACAATGTTGAGCATCTTTCCACGTGCTTATTGGTCATTTGGCTATCTTCTTTGGAGATATATCTATTCAAAACCTTGCCTATTTTTTAATTGGGTTGTTTGTCTTTTTCTTATTAAGTTATAATTCTTTTTATATTCTGGATATTAAACCCTTATTTCATATGAATTTCCAAAAAATCTCTCCCATTATGTAGCTGTCTTTTCACTGTCTTGATAACATCCTTTGATGCACAAAAGTTTTAACTTTAATGAAATCCAATTTATCTATTTTTTCTTATCTTGCTTGTATTTTTGTTGTCATATCTAAGACTCTATAGCCAAATATAAGGTCTCGAAGATTTATCCTATGTTTCCCTCCAGGAGTTTTATAGTTTCAGATCTTCTATTTAGGTCATCAATCAATTTGGAGTTAATTTTTATATACACAATTGAATCTAACATCCCTATATTAGAATTTGTGAAAACTTATAAAATTTTGCTCACTTACTTACTTAACAAGACAAGGCAAAAAAAAAAAAAAAAAAAAAAACCTCAAAATCCCTGTATCTTCCATAAAAATAGGTAAAAGAATTTTAGTGCTAAAAGTTATTTTGGATATTGTCTTGTACAATTTCTTCACTTTACAATTATACAAACTAAGAATCAAAGTGAGTAAATGACTAACTGAAAATTAACAGAAATAGTCACATAGTCAGCAACAGAGACAATAATACTAAGATTCATATTTCATAACTTCTAGTCCAGGTCTCTCAAGATAAAAAAATTTCCTTGCAATATCAACCATGTATATAACTACATATAAATAATATACTCACTTCAAATTACTTTTACCTAGCAGGTCTAACAAGATCTCTATTTCACATCTTTTTTTTAATATTTATTGTGATTTGGGTGAAAGTTTACAGAGTAAATTCATGTTCCCATGTTCCATACCGTAGCTCACATATACTTTCTCATGATATTCACTTCAATTTCCCATCATGTAACAGCTCCTCTCCCACTTCCTCCCCACAGTTACCTCTTCCCTGTGTCCTTCCCTCCCATCCACTCCTGCTCCCCAAGCTGTCTCCCTGTGCATGCACAGCCCTTCTATTCTCCTATTTGACAACATCTTATTTACTTAAGTTGTATCTATCTAAAAATAGTCACACTTTAAAATACATATGTTGTTTAATTTAGAGTTTCAATCAATTCAAATTCTCACCAAATTATCTGGATTATTGAAGTGCTTTACAATTAAAGCAAAACAGAAAATACTGTGACTAAATAACCATTTACAGCATCAGCTACCAAGTTCAGAGAATATAATCTTTCAATCAAATCAATGACAAAATTAGTTACACTTATGTCAAAAATGACATCAAGAAATTTATGAAATCTGTATGTGTATTACCTGTAGCTCCCAGTGGGTGTCCTTTTGAAATCAATCCACCACTTGGATTTATGACCCACTTTCCTCCATAAGTATTATCTCCTCTATCAACCAGTTTTCCACCTTGTCCTACAGAAGGAAAAAAACATTCACAAACATGAAAAATAACATTGCAATAATGGATTTTTTTTTAATTTCCAAGTTACAGCAAAGAGTCTCTTGGAGCAAACATTAACAGCTCAAACTAATACCAACCTAATATTATCACTTCTAAAATTCAGGTCATAAATATTGAGTAATAAAGCCTCATATTTCCAAAATAGTTTCTGCATTAAAAAAAGGTCTTATTAGCTCCTAAGATTGCTCCAAATATAACAGGGATTCAGAAAGTCAGAAGCAAAAAAAGAGAAATTGATATAATACTGTATCTAAAATAAGTATGTCAGCTTTAAAAATTCATAATTTTTCCAAAATGCATTCATTTCCCTCCATTTTCAAATGTGCTGCTGTATACTATAGAAATTTTTAATACACAGAAAAACATTTTTTAAATTAGTACTTATATGAAATCTGCTGTACGTAGGAAAGTAAATTTGCTCTAAATTTTCACTCAAATCACAATTTTAAAAAAAATTAGTACTTATATAAAATAAAACTAGCTAAGAACACTATTGTGACACTGTTATGCCATAAAAGTAAGCTTTAAAAAAATTATACCACATGTTTAGAGGCTTCAACATTTCTGACAATTCTGTGGTCATTATTCTAGGTGGCTTAGAAGTAAATAAAAATGCAATCGTTGCATAAAATATTCTCATATGGTATTTCTGATAAAGTAGTAGGAGGTTGTTGTTGTTGTTGTGTTGTTAGGTGTGGTTGAGTCAATTTCAACTCATAGCAGAACACAGTACAATAGAATGAAACACTGCCCAGTCCTGTACCATCCTCAAAATCCTTGCCATGCTTGAGCCCATCATTGCAGCCACTGTGTCAATCCATCTCATTGACGGTCTTCTTCCCCTTTTCCTCTGACCCTCCACTTTATGAAGCATGATATTCTTCTCCAGGCATTGGTCCCTTCTGACAACATGACCAAAGTAGGTGAGGTGAAGTCTGGTCACTCTTGCTTCTAAGGAGCATTCTGTCGGCACTTTCTCCAGGATAGATTTGTTCATTCTTCTGGCAGTCCATGGTATTTGCCAACATCACAATTTAAAGGCATCAACTGAGCATAAGGCAAACCCAAGAAGTGAATAATCTACCACATTTTTTTTTTTCTTTAATACATATGATCTTGTGAAGTATTAGAAGATTCCAGAAGGAAGCTATCTTGAATTCACTTTTGAGGAGTGGCTGGTGGGTTTGAACTGCCAGCCTTATGTTTAGCAGTCAAATGCCTTAGGCACTATGCCACCAAAGCTTCTTGCTTAATAACAGAGCCTCAAAATAAATGAAGTAAAAATTGACAGAATTAAAGGAAAATTGTCTATTTCACAATCTGATAAATGGCATCAACAAAAACTTACAGTTAACCTCATACTAACTGGTGAAAAATTAAACTGTACCTGTAAAACTGGGCAAAAGGCAATTAATATCCACTTTCACCATTTCTATTCAGTATGGTACTGTTGTTGTTATGTGCCGTCGAGTCAAACCCGACTCATAGCGACCCCTCCTTGGGTTTCCGAGGCAGTATCACTACGGAAGTAGGATTGCCCAACCTTCCTTCCGAGGAGTGGCTGGTGGGTTTGAACCACCAGCCATCTGGTTAGCAGGCAAGTGTCTTAGCCACTACGCTACCAGAGCTCCCAGTATGGTACTAGAGATCACAAATATTGCAATAAGACAAGAATGGGAAAAAAAAAAATGCAAAAAGATCAGAAAGACAGAAGTAAAACTGTCCTTATAGCATATGTAGCAAAAGTCCCACATAATCTACATTAACTACTAGAATTAGCAAATGAATTTAGCAAGATCATAGGATATGTTTTTTTTAATCAATTGGAAAATGAAGGTAAAGAAAAAAAAAAACTAATGGCAAAAATACAAAATATCTAAGAATAAATCTAAAGACACCCAAGATCTATACTGAAAACTATAAAACATTTAAAAGAAAGTAAAGAGGTAAATAATGGAAAGAGACACCATCTAATGAATTGAAAGATACAATACTGTTGAGGTGGTTAACTCTCTCCAAACTGATGTATATCAAAATCAAAATTGTTTTCATCAAGCTGATTCCTACCAAACACATAGGGTACAGAGCAGAACTACCCCATAGGGTGTCCAAGGCTGTACTATTATGTAGGGGTTCTGGTGGCACAGTGGTTTAAGGCATTAGGCTGCTAACCAAAAGTTCAGTGGTTTGAACCCAGCAGCCACTCTGTGGGAGAAAGACGAGGCAATCTGCTTCTGTAAATATTTATAGCCTTGGAAACCTTTTGGAGCAGTTCTACTCTGCCCTATGGGGACAAAATGAGTTGGAATCAACTTGACGGCAAAGCAAACTGCCCCATCTTCCGTAAAGTGGCTGGTAGGTTTGAACTGCTGACCTTTACGTTAGCAGCTGAGGACTTAATCACAGCACCTATATATATATATTAAAAAAACAACAACAACAAAAAAAACTCACTGCCCTCAAGTCACATACAAACCATAGCGACCCCTCCTTGGGCTTCCAAGGCAGTATCACTACGGAAGTAGATTGTTCAATCTTTTTTCCGAGGAGCACCTACAGGGCTCCTTAATTGATCCATAGATTCAACGTAATCCTAGTAAAAATTCCAACAGGTTTTTTTTTTTTTTGTAGAAATTGACAAACTGATTCTAATGTGCACATGAAGAAAAGGACCAAAAAGAACCAAAACAATGAATTCCAAAGCATCAATTCTTCAGTCTTCCTTATTCATTGTCCACCTTTTACGTGCATATGTTATTGTTGTTACTTGCCATCAAGTTGGACCCAACTTATAGTGACCCCTCTTTGGGTTTCTGAGGCAGTATCACTATGGAAGTAGATTGCCCAGCCTTCCTTCCGAGGAGTGGCTGGTGGGTTTGAACTGCCAGCCTTCTGGTTAGCAGTCAAGTGCCTTAGGCACTGTGCTACCAGAGCTCCTAAAAATATCATGCTTCAAAACATTTTAAAGCTTTAAAGAGGTCTTTTGCAGAATATTTGCCCACTGCAATACATCATTGGATTTCCTGACTGCTGCTTCCATGGGCATTGATTATGAATCTAAATAAATGAAATCCTTGACAATTTCAATCCTTTCTCCATTTATCAGAAATTATTGGGCCAGTTGTGAGTTTTGTTGTCTTTATGTTGAAGTGTAATGCTTACTGAAAGTTGTAGTCTTTGATCCTCAACATGTTGTTGTTGTTGTTATGTGCCATCGAGTCAGCCCCGACTCATAGCGACCCCTCCTTGGGTTTCCAAGGCAGTATCACTACAGAAGTAGGACTGCCCAACCTTCCTTCTGAGGAGTGGCTGGTGGGTTTGAACCGCCAGCCTTCTGGTTAGCAGTCAAGTGCCTTAGGCACTATGGTACCAAAGCTCCTAGAAAAAATGCCTAGTCCATGGTACCCACTGCTGTTGAGTTGTATCCAACTCATGGCAACCCCTCCTTGGGTTTCCAAGGCGGTATCACCACGGAAGTAGATTGCCCAACCTTCCTTCCGAGGAGTAGCTAGTAAGTTTGAACCACCAGACTTCTGGTTAGCGGTCAAGTGTCTTAGGCACTACATTACCAGAGCTCCTTCAACATATGTATATATATATGTATGTTGTTGTTGTTTGCTGTTGTTAAGTGCTGTCGAGTCAAACCCGACTCACAGCGACCCCTCCTTGGGTTTCCGAGGCGGTATCACTACGGAAGTAGGATTGCTCAACTTTCCTTCCGAGGAGTGGCTGGTGGGTTTGAACCGCCAGCCGTCTGGTTAGCAGGCAAGTGTCTTAGCCACTATGCTACCAGAGCTATATATATATAAAATTGATTTTGGACAATGGTCTCAATGGAGAGAAAAGTCTTTTTACAGGATATTGTATGGGTAAGAAAAAAAAATCAACTGTTATCTTACACAAAAATTGACTCAAAATGGATCATATACTTAAATGTAAAATCTAAAACTACAGAACTTCTAGAATAAAAATGGGAAAAAACCTTTAGGACCTCAGAATAGGCAAAGATTTCTTAGAACACAAAAAACGTGAGCCATGAAAGCAAAAATTATACTTGATCAAAATTAAAAATTTTCATTCTTCAAGAGACATTACCAATGAAACAAAAAGGCAAGACATAGACTGTGAAAAATATTCACAACATACAAGTATAAGACAAATGACTTGAACATATATATATATATATATATATATTTATTTATTTTAATTTTTATTGTGATGAAAGTTGACAAAGCAAATTCATTTTCCACACAGCAGTTTACACACACTTTGTCTCATGACAGTGCCTGCAATTTCCCACAATGCAACAGCTCCCCTCCCACTTCCTCCCCATAGTCACCTCTTCCCTGTGTCCTTCTCTCCCATGCACTCGTGCCCCCTGAGCTCTCTCTCTGTGCATACATGGCCCTTCTATTCTCCTATGATTGATCTCTTCAAGGAGTGTATCTACCTAATGTAAATGTTCAGCTCATATGTCTGTCTTTTGTTCGGCTGGAAGCCACAGGAGTGGGTTCAATTCCAGACCTGAAGGGCAGCTAGGGCCATAGTCTCAGGGATTCCACCAGGCTCTATTACACCAGCAAACCTCATCCCCTTTTTTTGGGATTTATATTTAAAAAAAAAGTTTTTACAGCACTATAGAGAAGACAGTCCAATAATAAAATGGCAAAATATCTAAATAGGTATTTCACAAGATATATGAATGGCCAAGAAGCACATAAAAAGATACTCAACATCATTAGTCCATCAAGGATAAGCAAATTAAAACTACAGTTGTTGTTGTTGTTGTTATTTGCCATCGAGTCAGCCCCGACTCATAGCGACCCCTCCTTAGGTTTCCGAGGCAGTATCACTACGGAAGTAGGAATGCCCAACCTTCCTTCCGAGTGGCTGGTCGGTTTGAACCGCCAGCCTTCTGGTTAGTAGTCAAGTGCCTTAGGCACTATGCTACCTACAGCAGAATATCAATATATACTCTTTAACCAGCTGCCATAGAGTTGATTCTGACTCATAGTGACCCTATGTGTGCTAGAGTAAAACAGTGCTATGCAGGGTTTTTGATGGTTGATTTTCTTGGAAGTAGATTGCTAAGGTGTCTCTGGGTGGATTCAAACCTCCAACTTTTCAATTACCAGCCAAGCACACTAATTGTTTTACTATCCAATCACTCTATACACTTGTTACAATGACTGAAATTAAAAGACTGACCAATCAAGTGTTAGCAAGCATGTGAAGCAAATGAAACTCTCATACACTGCTGGTGGAAATGGAAAATGATACAACCACCTATGAAACAAAAAGAAAAAAAATCTTCCAGATTCCAGTTTTTCCATTTTCCCACCTGCAAGTCTTTATTCATACACAATTTGAAATAGTTGGAATTACATTTAATTTTACATCCTTTCTTTCTCATTTAATAGTATAAGTACCTTGACTTAAATATTTGTATACTCTGTTATTTCAGTGTTGGTACTGTCCAAGACTCCATGGTCTAAAAAGTCCAACACCAACACAGTTTATATTCACTTTGCACAGTGTGGCAGAACCACCATAAAAGGGAAAGCAATTAGTGAATTATTTTGCTTAATGGTGAAAGTAAAGTTTTTGCATTGAAATTTAGCAAGTTAACTTGCCCACTTCAAAGATATTACCTTCTGGACAAAGTCCCAATGCTTCATAAGTAAGAAGTTCATTGACAGAAAAGCAATCATGCAGTTCTATTACATCAATATCACTTGGTTTCAGGCCACATTTCTCGTAACACCTTCTGGCAGCTTCTTTACTCATATCAAAACCAACCTAAAACCAAAACCATATATAAATTAAGGACATCAAAACCGGGGAGGGGGGGTTGTTAGTTAAGGAAATGTTGTAAGAGATTAATATATGCACAACTTTAACATCTGAGAATTGACCACACACATTAAAATCTCAGTTGATTCTATATTACATAGAAAGTCCAAATAAAATATTATTCAGGAGGGAGAGCATATATATTAAATTTCATACTATATAGGAGTTTTAAATAATACATAGGAAAGAATTTAGAATTCCTTACGTCATATCTTGTGGTAAGTTACAAATCTTTATCAAACCACAGCTTATAGTTGTGGTAAATAGCTTGAAGACTTTTATCAGGAAATCATTATAATTCAGAAACACTGAAAAATAAAGGGGAATTTCTATTTATTCTATTTATTTTCTATGAAAATACATAATCTTCTTTCAGAAAATCATATAGGATTCAAACCATGTTTCCAAATTCCATTCTCTTAACATCTCTTTGTTCTCAAATATAAAAGGTGCAAACTCAATTTTCTTCAAGGAATAAAACTATGTTATGCAAAATATACTGTAATCAGGAAATCAGACTCTAAGTTCCACCTTGGCCACACCCTAGCTTTGTGATTTGGGTAGATCACAATGACATTTCCAAATTCACAGCATTGCTATAAAATCATTTTGAAAATTATAATTTACCATATATTTGTTGACACATATGTGTCAATATGTGTGTGTGTGTATTTTCAAATATTCAACTAACACAAGGTCTGAATTCTCATCTTTTTTCCTTCTTCCATTTGTACTCAATCTTCAATCAGGATTTCTGAAGTGCTGAGAGTCAAGAAAGTTCACTAAAAACAAGCTTGTTTTTCCTCTAACTCTGCGAAGTTGGAATTCTGGGCATATTCTGTCAACTCGAAGTAAAAAATAAACAGCACATTTAGTTAATTAAAAGTTATCCTATAGTGATGCATGGCTCCATTTTAAGAAGTATCCATTCTCGTAAATTGTTTTCCTGTAACATATTCTTAGGGATGGGTTATAATATTAAAATTTCTAGGCCATTATTTTTCAAATAAATAGCTTCCAGAGCTAATGACCACATGGTGTCACCTTGAAATTTTAAACAGCAACTCTTCAATTTGCTTTAAAAAACAATGTAAGATATACCACTTTAATCATGCTGTTTTCTTCAAATGTGCTTGGGAAATCGGTTATCATCTCTTGTGCCAAAATTTCCACAGCTTTGGATTCCAGGCCATAATTCTTCACAAATGCTTCACTAGCCAAAACTGCCGCTGCAGCACCATCTGAAGTGGGACTAATGGAAGGAAAAGTAATTATTTATACCTGGCACCACCTGAATCCTACGATTTCAGACTAGAAGGACCATCTATGGGGGGAGACAGGCCAAGTATGCTTGCTGGTTAGCAGACTATCTTCTTTGTGATATGTATAGTTAAAAACTACACAGGCTTCCTACCTGAAGACTGAACCTCTAGTAAGAACTTAAATAACATTCATCACTGCTCCTCAGTCTCTGCCTTTCCCAAGAAGTTCTTATCGCAAAGAATCCTGGATTTGCCTCTGCAGATACATAAAGCATCTTCTAGCCACTTCTGAGGAATGAGTTCACAAGGTTATTCCTACCCTAGTATAATAAATATTCTCTATGGGCCTATGTAGCTCCAATTTTGCTATCTGTGAAATAACTCAGTCCTGGAATACTTTTGTAAATTGAGAAAGTACATGGTTTGGTTAAGAGTCTTGAGATCTCTTCAAAATAGCTCAGTCCTCTAAGAGCAAGCTATGAAGGAGGGTGGCAAATACAAAAAGCTTTCTTCAAGTTCAGCTGGACTTTATAAATGGGCAGCCCCTCATATTGCTACTGATAAAAAGTAACTCTACTTGTTTACTTCCATCCCAGGCACCATCTCCAGGACACAGCCTGGTGTGAACTAGATCATAGGCAGGGGCTACGTGGCAATCACTCAATCTTCTGGGACACAGATACTGTCAAGCAATTTTCAAGATGAAACTTATCATTCTTAGGGCTGTGTTTTTTTTTTTTTTTTTTTTTGCTTATTTAACCTTATTCTCAGGTACTACAGGTTAGTAAAATTTCCTATAGTAGAAGTATACAGAGGAGAAAACAAAATATTCAAAAATAAAGCCCTTGGGGAAGAGAGGGGAAGGACAAATGAAGGGAAGGGATGGCCACACAGGAGAAGTGGGAAGAATGCTGTTACAGTGTAGGGATTACAGTAAATGTCACAAAACAGAATGTGTATGGATTGTTAAATAGAAAACCAATTTGCTCTGTAAACTTTTACCCAAACCACAATTTAAAATAAATTAAACCTCTAAACTACGCTGGCTTCCTTAGTTATTTTAATGAACAAATACAATTAAAAGAAGCAAAGTAGGTAGAAGTCATGAGATAAAAAAGTAAAACACATTAATTATCCAAGAGAATAATAGACAGTCTGTCTCTAGTGGAGTAGCAAATAAGGGTACTTTAATGAAGGTAACTCAGAGTAATGGCTACATGGTAGGAATTCTGTAAGAGCCATATCTAGAGAAAGAGCCTAAGGTTTATACCACAGTAAGAAGGCTAGAGAAGGCAAAAGTTCCAACCCTCTATTAAATATTAAAATATGTTTTACTTACCAACATTGTAACATAGTCAAAATACCAAAAACTCTTTGAGATTTCATCACTTCATCTAAGCTGTATTCTTTCTGGAACTGGGAATATCTAAACACAAAATAAGTAGTTACAGAACGTGAGGTAGGAATTCCAAGTTTATTGAAATGTTCTTGCCCGGAAGTTAAAAAAAGAGAATAAAATGCAAATACTCTTTTTACAACCAAAAGGTAGGCTTTTATGAATAGTTTCAACCTTTAATAAATAATTCATTTCAATGTTAAGTTAAAAAAAAAAAAGTCCTACCTCCAAAATATCATACCCATCCACCTTCCCGTATCCTCTACCCCTAGAGAATTAAAAACATTATTCCTTAAAAACAAAACTAAATGAATTGCAGTTCAGACAACTTCTGTGGTGATGGTATTATATAAGTACATTGAATGAAGTTCTAACAAAGTTCTTAAATAAATGTACAAAACCTGTAATAAATTATCCACAATCTTCAAAGCACATTTCTCTTTTGATCACCACAAAGGAAACTTTTTATCCCCTTTGGATCCCGTTTCCAGAAATTTTGCTGTGACCAAAACAGCAGCAATAAGAGACACCACAGAGCAGTTTCTAAAATCTCATTTCAACAGGTATGGGAATTAACAAACATTTGAACACTTAAAGGCCAGGGGAACCAGGACAGAGAGAGGAGTCAGCCACTGGGATCCAGGTGAGGGGATCCAGGCCATGCCCCAAAGGCGGCAAGGTGGGAAAGGAGGGGAAAAAGGCCAGGGGGGCGGGCAGGACAGAGCGAGGAGGCAGCAGCAAGGATCCAGGTAAGGGGAGGTTGAAGAGGTTTTGAACAGCTAAGGGCGACAAATTTGTCTGTCGGTTTGACCTACTGTGGTGACGTGTTGTTGTAAGTTTTGAGGCAGAGCCATCGGTGCTTCAAACCCAGTGGGGTGCACATGGTGCACAGGTTTCGGCACAGCTTGCAGACTGAGACAGACTAGGAAGAAGGAAGAGGCCATCCACTTCTCAAAGAATTGGACAGGGAAAACCTTATGAACAGCAGAGAAACCCTGTCTGATACATTACTGTGCAATTTTATGAATAGTCCAGAAACACTGTCCAATACAGAAGAGGAGGATAAGTCACTTAGGTTAGAAGGCTCTCAAAACAAGACTGGGAAAAAGCTGCATCATCAGAGTAAAACTAGCCTTACTGATATGGATAAGGTTAAGCTTTCAAGACCTCCATTTGCTAACATGGCACCACTCAAATTAAGGAGAAACAGCTGCAAACATCCATTAATAATAGGAACAAGGAATGTACAAAGTATGAATCTAGGAAAATTGGAAATTGTCAAAAATGAAATGGAACACATAAAGATTGATATCTTCGGCATTAGTGAGCTGAAATGGACTGGTTTGGGCCATTCTGAGTCAGACAACCATATGATCTGCTATACCAGGAATGACAATTTGAAGAGGAATGGCATGGCATTCATCATCACAAAGAATGTTTCAAGATCTGTCCTGAAGTACAATGTTGTCAGTGATAGGATAATATCCATAAGTCTACAAGGAAGACCCGTTAACACGACTATTATTCAAATTTATGCCCCAACCACCAAAGCCAAAGATGAGGAAATTGAAGATTTTTATCAACTTCTACAGTCTGAAATTGACCGAACATGCAATCAGGATGTGTTAATTATCACTGGTGACTGGAATGCAAAAGTTGGAAACAAAGAAGAATCACCAGTAGTTGGAAAATTTGGAAA